AGTCATTACATGTCTATGTTCGTAAATACTGTTGTCTACATTAAGGGAGCAGTAGCTAAAATTAATATCTAATTCAGTAAATGATTCTAATGTTAATTGTATTAACTATGACTCATGAACTATTGAGGAGTAGTATATAAATGCAGTATATCGTGAAATAAAGTGAAATTGTCCAACTTAGTGTTTAACGTAAAATACGAGGCGTTTAAGTCTTTGCGTAGTCTGCTAGTAGAGCAAAAGTGTTCGTGATAGTGCAGATATCGTTCCTTGATACGTGGTTCAAGGAATTGACTTATTGATCGTAGATTACGTTATCTTGTTGCAAAGCTGTTTTGTTAAATATGTTCCGTCATTGCTTGCTACTAATATGATTATAATACGCATTACTGTGCTGTAGTTGCTATGGTTACTTGTCTAATGTACTGCTTGGTAGAAAAGAATAGAGTGCTAGTTAAAACATTATAAACCGACTCGAAAGTATAACGATATGACTAAATACCGCCAATAAGAGGGTCTTTTAAGATTAGATTCTGATTTAACTTGGCATTTTAGGCAAGCAATAATTCATTTGGTACTGCAAACTATTTTTATTTTAGAAACAAGGAGTGCGGACATTAATCCAGTCTTATTGAAATTTTTCTAGTTCAATCCTTACAATCAATGTTTTAAACTAGAACATAAAGTGACAGCAAAATATGGGTAAACTCCACCGAAAATAAGTGTTAATGTTTGCAACACAAAACACCAGATATTCCTGAATGATACTGGCAAGCCCTCTTATGGCTGTAGCTCTCAAGGGTTTTTGCTGCATCAATCATCCCTCCTGTTATACAGGATGTTCTACGTTCGACTTTTATAGGACATGCCCTACCGACACCGGCTAGATCATCGTGAGCCGTTCTATTCTCACAGTCAATACACTTGTAATAGTCATGGGCTGCATTAAATGCATAACAGCCAGGGATTTTAATGGCATCTTTGTAGGTAATCTTGGAAAGTAGGGACCTTCTGTCGTTTTTATTACATAAATGATATCCTCTGCCACACAAATCGGCGTTTCGAATGTGGCCAGTCCAACTGCCTGGGCAACCAATGACCGATGAATGATAGACTTTGATTACAGAGCTGCTTTCTTTACAAATCCTTAGTCTGTCCGTAGAACCTTATGGATTAAAACGAGAATAAATGTTAATATGGTATGAAACGGAAGATTTAGTTTACAGTTCAGTTAGCAAAATGAAAGAAACAGTATTTTATTTTAAAGTCTTACTATGATTAATGTGGTGCTTCTTTGATTGGAGTTTGAGTTTTAAATCAAGTTGAAGAAGTAGTTTTTTAAGGTAATTCCTGTTATATTTAGAATAATATGCCGCGGCGGATGGCTGAAAAATTGCAAGATTGGTAGTTGATTTCTCTGAGAATCATATCACATTAGCAGTGGTTGTAATTAATGACTAATTATAATCCATTACCGCAACAAGAGTCATCAATTGTAGAGCACAAAAGAGTGCAAGAATAGCCTTCATGTTTTGACAGCTGGAAACGAGAAGTGGATGAGTTAGTCAAGGATAGAGATGTTGAGGTCAATTACAGTAATCCTTTTTAGCCAAAGTTTCAATGCTTTTTCCGCTTTGAGTTACACGATGATGACAAGTTATCAAGTATTTATATGCTTTGTTAATACCGCATGGTCAGTGATTATTGATCATATTAATATAAAGCCAAGCTTGCTTTCGTATTTCATTATTAACCATGTCAACAAGAACTGTGTCATATTTATTGCTACCCTAGCATAAACGTTATTTCCTATGGATGCCTGGTTGTTAAGAGATATTTATTTATAAAATTTTCGATAGCCAATGCATCAGTTATAGATTATATCAGTCAGCTCTAGCTATTACAATACTGTATATAGGCAACGATGTGAAGATAACAGCACTTCTAAAATAAGCAATGCTGGCAGAGCATTCTGTGGGAATGTTCTTGAATATTAAGTATTTGAATAATCGGGGTTATTATGAATGAATCTAATGTGTAGCAATCTCAGAAAAAAATTTCAATTTTGATAAGCAATATTTGCCAATGAGGGCCTTTTCTATGGCGTATTTAAATTGTGCTACCGTTCAATGCTAAATGATGCTTTTAAAAAGAAAATAATTCCCAGGAACGCTTATAAATTGTCAGTAATCCTAGGAAATCCTTTATGAATGTCTCTGCATTTACATACTTTCACTATATTATCGGTAATCCTAGGCAATCCCTTATAATTGTTTGCATTCCGAGAGAATGCTTTCACAGAAAACGCTTTTGAACGCTGCCTTGCCGAGATTGCCTGTAACATACTTATAAATAATTTTATAGTTTAGAATAAACTCTATACGTGGTAAATTCGATCCTTGCAGTACCAGTACTATTACTATAGCATAGCAAGGCATTTACTTTGAAATTTTTGCAATATCGTTGCAAAACTATCTAGAGTTTTACTATACTTATGGATGTTGTGAATTATCTTTTATAGCTACTCATAGCTAGGCAGTTACTCCCTGTTTTTTACCTTATGATCGAAGAACTATATGGAGTTTTACTGTACTTTTTAATGATGTCATTTATCTTCTATAAATATCTATAGTAAGGTATTTACTTCAAGTTTTTTACAATATTATTATGGAACTATCTGAAGCTTTACCGTACTTTTAATATTGTAAATTATCTTTTATAACTATCCACAGCAAGCCATTTACTTTCAGTAATTTACGACCTTATTACGTGATTATCTGAAGCTTGATCGTAATTTTACTAATGTAAATTATCTTTTATAACGACCCGTAGCAAGTCGTTTACTTTAAATATTTACGTCATGATCGAAGAACTATCTGCAACTTTACTATAGTTTTAAATGGTGTAAATTATCAATAAATATCAATCGCAAAGTATTTACTTCCAATTTTTTACCACATCATCAAAAACTATCTGAAGCTTTACTGTACTTTTTCAGTGTTGTAAATTATTTTTTACTCTTTTATCATTCAAATATGTTGTATTATTTACTAAAGCATTAACATACCAATGCTGCCGTGTACGAATAGATAATGGCATCAATTTAATTGCCGTAAATATGGTCTTAGTTTCGATGCTTTAATTGATTTAATGATCTAATCTCTCGATAATTTACAGGTATACCTGTAAGATTGTAAACAACGTTAGTATTCTGCTTCTATTTTCCTCATCAAGATGTAGCGATGCAAAGATGTTAATAATACGCTTTCCATGTATTACATCAATCTATTGAACCCTTTGCATTACTAAAGATTAATTTTATCATTGTGCCATTCCATCATTCTACGGTAATCGTTAAAAACACGGTGCCTTGTTCCAACACGAATCTAATTACAGAATATGGCGAACGATGTCAATCTTAATTAAAGATTACTTTATCGTGCTTACAAAAAATTTTGCATTTATTCTTAATAGGTGTAGAATTATAATTAGAGAAACTTAAATTTGATTCATTTATAAGTTGAATGATTAACGAATCTTTAATGAATAGAAAAATAGCATAAAAGTAATATTAGCTTCTTGGTCGAAAAATGATATTTAGACGATATTGCTGGACATTATTCTATCCAGAAAGGAACTAGGGGGTTTCTAAGTAAGTCTAGCTATCACATACAAACTAGCCTTGCCTAATTTGAGACAAAATAGCCTATGGTTACATTATTGTTAAATTCGGGAAGCAATCTTATGTTATAGCGCATCTATTCATTATCAAGTAAAAGTACATTAGTGCATGTAGGTAACTAACATGATGTCGTTATCAATGTACTGCTGGAACAATATTCTAAGCATTTTCTAATACTGTATTGCCCTGCAGCTGCTTACAATCATGATACTGTGATAGCTTGTACTGTATAGTAAGATATATGTTACTAGTAAGTATGAAAACTATCTACTTATTAGGCTTGAAAAATTGTGACAAAACTCATTTACATTGAATCCGGACGGATTCATGGAAGGAGAAACAAATTTTTGATATCTTCTCCTATTTACCATTTGGACTAGGCGGTAACAGTTGCAAAGAGAAAATGTTAGCTCTCAGAGAATTAATCCTTGCTGTGCTTGTATCCATTTTCGATTGGAAATATTATCGGATAGTCAAGATGTTACGCTAGAGAGATATACTACAATAGACCAGATCGAGCTATTTTTGTTACAATTTCACCGATATAAAATAGATCGATAACGGCATATTAAAATAACATTACATCTGTAGAAGCTTTCTTTTCAATGATCACTTAATTCAGGTACTGTACATTAAATAGCAAGATAATCTACGTAGGTAATTTACTATTAATATGGCAAGATAACTCATTGATGTGTACCAGAGGCGAAGTCTGAAACTTAAAAGTAACTTCTTATTGCTATAAAAATAAATAATAGCCAAGATAGATACAAAATTCTGATTAATTAGCCTTAATTTTATTAGTAATGGTTTCTGCCTTGAATTAACCTTATTAAGCGTAGAAAAATTAGACAGCCTGATAAAGTAGACGTTACTATGTTATGGCTAGATTGATATCATTCTAGTTATAAAATATCCATAGAATAAGCCAATCTACTTTCAATAGACTCAAATTGGACGTATAAAGTAACAACTCTTTGAAATATATACTCTACCGTCGTCCATTGCAGGACAAAAATGGATTGACAAGAACCTAAATGGTTGGTATTTGATATATCATTACGGACACGAATTTCTTGACCTTCTATAGTTGATTATTGTTATGCGTTGTTTGACTGACTAAGCAATCCAGTACAAGGGTAATAGTTTACTAAAGTACGTCATATTTTTCAATAACATAGATGATTCCTTGCTATGCGCACATTTGCGATTTCACTCAAACAGAATCCTTCTCATATAGCACTGGGATTATCTTCAATAAGTTAATGCTTATCAAAAGACATCGAAATTAATAATACATGGAATCATATGAAAAAATGCCTTTTTATTTTGAATTAAGCTACAGAACCTATTATCGACGTGTGTACTGTATCTAAAACCGTAGAAATTTAACTATTAAGGTTTTATCCTTTTAATGATGCTGTAACATAACTACGTGATCCATGTGGCAGATTAAATGCGGGAGTTATTTTCGATCCAGGTCTTGAAGGAAGAAACGCGGGCATAGAAATCAGCAGAGGACCATGAGCAAGCTGTAAGAAAAAAAAGTATTCAAAATGAACATTAGTAATTAATTGGTCATAATATTCCTTCATGCCGTAAGACTTTCAAAGCGAAATACATGGGCTATCCAACATTCTATTTGGCGAAGGTATAGTAAAACCGCTAGTTGATTATCACACTGCAATCTTTTGAATCAAGTTCTAATAATAATCATGTTCATTCAAACTTACGGACTGTGCCGTAGCTAACGACGCCATATTGCTGGTATTGGTTATTCTGTTTGAATACAAGTGGGCCACCGCTGTCTCCTTGGCAGGTTCCATCACGGTATGCAGTAGTAGTAGCTGCGACTTGAGAAAAACTATTGTAGTTACTGCTTGATGCGGCAGCGTCACTGTCCGATCTTCTTTTGACGTTCAATACTTGTAGAATGTTAGGTCTGGTTTGAAGGAAATAATTAGTTAATCCCCATCCAGTAACCTGACTTGCTGTATTGGTTGGTGGAGTAACAGAAGCCAACGCGATAGGAGCAACATAGCTATTGAAGGTCAATTTGCTGGCCAATTTAACAACAGCAATATCATTGTTGATCTTAGCTGGATTCCAATCGCTACGGATGATACTGTGAAAAATAAAATGTCAGAGAAGACTCGGTCACGCAAGGATATTTTTATCGATCCGCGTTATAAAGCCTAAGATGATTGTTACTGCATAGGATGGCAAAGAAGCAATATGTTTCATGCTATCCAATAATTATAATTCATATTATAATTATGGAATAAAGAGTAACCTATTTAGTTCTAGATTTAATGATAAATTATAACGTCTTAGACATCGATTTCTTACAGTTTAGTAACAGCAATGGTTTGTTCAGAATTGTCGTTTCTGCTGAAATCGTATTCACCGGCGACTACTCTGAAGTCAGATGCTACACCGCTGTCAACACAGTGAGCAGCAGTCAAAATATACTGCTGATTAATGATGGAGCCACCACATGTGTGGTAGAATGAGCCAGGCTGAGAAGGATTTTTTCTTTGCAAAGAGATCTGGTATGGGTGTTCGCCTCTCACGTCATTTTGACCGTTAATAATTCTATCTATATCTTTCCTGGCAGGTACAGTCAACACCTTAGGGTTGTATTCAACTGTAATGTACAAGGTTATTTCATACCATTAAATGGACGAACATTGAAATAAGTGAACAAATTGGGATAAAAATTATTTGACAAGCCGATTCTTTATCTACAGAGTAAACTATTACACTATTTAAACTGTGACTTGACTGCATAAGTTACATTGCTCGGATGGAACTAGAACGCTATCTGATCGACGATGAATGGTATTGAAGTAATAGCATAGTGATGATATAATGCTGTAGTAATATCGAAATACCGAGAGTCGTAGCTATGTTATTATAAGCGAAATTAAATAAATTGCAATTTAATTTGTTTTGCATACTACTTGAAGCATAAGTAGAGTACAATATGACACTACTTGAATTGCAATTTTACTGTACTAGTTTCATTGCTTCGATAGAACTACAATACAATCGAATCGACCGCGAATAGCGTTCAAGTAATGGCATCACGATGATACTGAGATACGGTTCTAATGTAAACATGTCGACAGTTACAGGAATAGCTAAATTAAAATAGATTGTAATTTTGTTTGTTTTACATACTGTTCTAAGTCCAGTTTCAATTGGTATCTCTTATAAGTAACCATGATAATGAACGACTATCATCAGTCATTTAAATACTACTCTTCTATCCTATACAAATAGTATAGAGGACTTCTTTCATTTCTTTCTTACATCTCATTAAGTTAGTCAATATATGATTATCGATGCATAACTTATTGTTGTTTGGCTTATCCTCACGATACATATCAGAATTACGTAGCAATAGTAAAATGTTACATCCTTAACTTACCAGTTTCGTGCTGTTCATCCAAGTCAAATGGCACTGGACGAACTACAGTGTTAGTAAGAATATAGAAATAACATTAGAAATATGGATTACCAATTGGAGAGTTATAAACATCAACATAAAAGAGTAATGATCAAAATCACAGCTTAAACAATAAATTAAAACCAATTATCAGTCATTAGAGTATACAATTGTATACCAACACTGCAAAAATAGACGGATAGAAATAAATTGACTTAATAAGCTATTGCCTAATACTGGATTGCGTTTAAAGCGTCGCTTTGCGCATCAAGTACGGTAAATTTATAACAATTTTACTTGACATCTTTACTATTATTAGAATGGTACTAGTAAATTTACCTGATGCAAAGGTCACGGCAAATAAAGCGCAAAAGATGATAGCGGTCTTCATGCTTTATGTTACAGGTTTTGATAAAAGCAAAAAAATTAATGCAATGATTCAATGTTTTTAAGTATCTAGGAATGAAAATAACAAAACTCTAGCAAAGTTTATTACACTTTATAACAGTAACAGAAATAAGAGTACAATTTAACATAGATAATTGGAGCTACTTTATAACTCCGGAAGCTAAAAGAATTAAACTCTATTTCACACACATTTCTACCAAGAATAACTAGAACGGCAGCTTAATACTTACTTGGAAATCAAATCAAACGATCCTTCTTCCTTTCAAGGCACTGAGGAAAATACGAAATGATAAGAAAAATGCGTGAACGCAGAGCTTTTATATGCTTCTGTCAAATGTAAATAATGCTTAAAGCAATTAGATAAGAGATGCTTAAGTCAATATTATCAGATAATGCTATAGTTTATTGACTGTACTAATGGGATTTATCCATTTCGTTTACATCTTAATAAAAGAATTAAAGAAGATTGATAGATGCAATTGCAGTAGGCGTAATTAAACATCACGATCTGCTGACATTGATTAGCCTGTATGTACGATTTTCATACAGTTCTTCAACAAGCACTTCACTTAAGAACGAAGGTCATGAATTTGATGTATTATGATGCCAGAAAGCACGGAATACTGCTTTGACAAATAATTTCTTCTATTAGAAAGCGTTGCAGCTATTAAATGCTATTTATCAGTTAAGCAGAGGTAATTAAGCACCACGATCGGGTATAACATCAATTACATACACTGTGGCAGTATCTCTTTTGTCACTATTTAAGTAACACTGCGAACGATACAAATCTACTAGAATAAGTCTACTTCTTTCGTAGTGATGGAGATCTATTATAAGATACAACCACACAGGTATAAAGTTACTCTAATAAAAATTGTAAATTAAGTTTATTAAGTTAAAGCAGATACTTGTTTATATAACAAGAGCTGAGGAACTAACTGATTTTTTTTTTGGCAGAGCTGCTGCTCAGGCTTTTATAGTTTTCGGTGGTGATAAGCGGTGCACATATAAGCAATTGTGCAATATTGCTATACGAGATTTACTTACATTAGTATGATAAATTGTTTACCAATAAGTTATATAGTTCACTATAGCTAAATATTTGTAAGCAACCTTAATTGCAATTAATTAATTAACAGCTACTAATGATTTGACACATAAGCACAATAATACCATTTCACAACATTGTAGGCTGTAATTGCAATTAACACTCCATTAATTATTACAATTTTTAAAGCCCCAGGCAATTAATTAATGCAGGTAAACAATTAATTAATAACAAAAGCAATACAGCTTCACGCACATCACTCCGTGACAGCCAGTATATGCGAGTTCATACAGTTCTTAAACAAATATTTTACATAAGAATGAGGGTCATCGATCGATATCTGATGTATTATGATGTCAAAGGCACGGTATACCGCCTTGACGAATAATTCTTTCAATTAGAAGTGATGCAGCTATTAAATGCTATTTATCAATTAAGTAGACGTAATTAAACCGCTACCGGACTAACTGTGATTAATGCAGTTCTTTAACAAGCATTTTACATGAGAGTAAAGATCATCGATCTGACGTACTCTTACTGTAGAGTGTTATGATATCAAAGGCACGGTATACATTCTGGATGTAAAATTCCTTCGATTAAAAGCGATGTAGCTTTAAATCAAATTTACTGAGTTAATTATTTTATAAAATAACTGTTAGCTTAATTATTATATAAAGTAACACATAACATTTATAAAATACGGTAACCATCCAAAAATGACTTCATAAATCATCCATTCACTCTTTGGTATCTTTTTAAAATTGCTTTGGTTAATATTTTATAAAATAACCAAAATAACCATCACCTTGATTATTTTATAAATTAATTAAGAACTTTTTTATAGATAACCATCGAGAGTTATTTCATAAATTATCTGTAACTTCTTGGTAACTTTATAAAACTGCTATGGTTATAATATTTCATAAACTAACCAAGGCGGCTTGCATTACTTTGTAACATAACTACCGACTTAGTTACGGTATTTTATAAATTGACTAGTTAGCTTCATAAAACGAGCAATGATTTGATACTTAAAACTTGGCCTAGCATAACTACTAAATGCTATCTATGTATAGCATCTGTTATCGTACTCGTATTGCGACGAGTTATATTGTACGTATATATACGGATTGTTGGTGATAAGTTAGATATCTAATTAAAAAAGAGCTCAAAGGCCAGATCGTGTTCTGATCATGGTTAATTTCATGTTATGAGAGTGCTCTAACGTATTTTAAAGTAGAGCTTAAAGCGATACTAATTTAAATATAATACACGATAGCTGATATTTTTATCAGTATTAACTTCTATGCATATGTATGCTGTAGCTGCTTGCAAATAGATGGATGAAAGGTATAAAAGCGAGTAACCTTTTAAAATCAGCAGATTTCTAGTTAGATCTTAGTGAAGACTAGTGTCTGCGCTTAACTGTCGCTAGAAGTAGCTTCTGTGTTATAAAAAGTAGTCATAGTACTTCGCCATGATTTTAATTGTGAAAATAAGCACTTTAACATCCAAGGCGACCTGGCATACTTTATAAAATAACTTCCGACTTGGTTATTTTATAAATTGACTGATTAGCTTTATAAAATAAGCAATAATTTGACGACTATATAAAATAGTTCTTGACTTTATTAAATTATTGGCTCAATCAATTTAATATCGCATAGCTATTAAATACTATTTATCGATAGCATCGTCATTATTGTACTTCGTAAAAGTAAACACTCCAACATCAGGTAACCTGAATTATGAATTCACACAAATTTTAAAATAACTGTTACAGTAAAGTTTTCTTGAACTGAACAGAACTATTTGCCTTCATCTCTAGTTAGTTTCACATAATGATGTATACGAATATATAGTAAAGACGTAGCGTAGCACTATATTCAATAATCATCTAAATACTATGTGATTTAATCGATGCCTGGATAAAGATTTTAACAATATTAAATTGCAAAGCTAGCTCTAATTTTGCGCTGTTACATTATTTTAACATTGCGATTAGTCACAAGAATGTAAATAAATCAAATAAATAACTTCGTAACTTTATCAATTCGTATAGAAATAAGTAATCCCTGGTCGTAAATGAATACTGAAACAGTAAATTGAACAGGATTAGACTGTGTTTAATCCGTATAAATTGAGACTCTTCAGAGTATTAATTTGATTGATTTCTAAAAGACGAGATAAATCGTATAATTAAGTCGGCTTTAGGTACATGAACCTATATAAGCTACGGCCTCGCTAGTAATGAGATAGATTGTGATTTTCTAGAGAGATCCGAGACCTCACTGTGCTAAATCTTAGTTATATCTATATAGAAATTAATTAGTATTTCAATTCACAGCAGTGCAGATCCGAAAACACACTCTCAACCTATATTGCAAGTTAGAATTGATCTTTGCTCGTAACATATCAATATATACTCGTATATGTAAGTTAATTATTACTACTTTTACATGTAACAAAATCACATTTCTTTGCTTAACAATCATCGTTTACTTTACATCTCTACGATGAATTAGCAATACAAGCACTATCTTAGTCCTCTAAATTAAGCAAAAAGAACAGCCGGCTTTTAATAGATCCCAGCTACAGCAGATAAATTAGCCATATCATAACACATGCAAATATCAAAACCGACTAGTTTTGTAAACAGTATTAGACCAATAAGGTTAAAGAACTATCTAAGGCAAACATTACTAAAATTAGTGATTGGTTAGCGCCGTGTGCTGCCGATCTAATAGTATATTAATTAATAATAAAAAGAAAAGAATTGTGTTGTAGGCACATGAAATACTATTGTAAGCCTGCTGCTAGTTCACTTTTTTCTACTGAAAATAATTATTACTTTAATTAATTCATGCTACCAACAGATATGATAATCCTCTGATATCGAGGCAAGATATACATCTTAATCTAAATTTTTTTGTAGTCTTCTATGTATTCAGCGCCGAATTGTATACTGAATTTTAAACATTAGTTCATGAATTAATAACTATCACTCTAATCTACATTGCCAAAATTTAGAGAGATTCAGTTGGTTGTTTTAAATTCTTCCGTTGTGTTTTTGGAATTTAAATGAAATCTTCATAATCTATCTTACTCATCTATCAACACCAAGTAATTTATTATACCTACTAATATTATTTTATAAACTTGTACATAACAAAGTATATTTCTAAATAATGTTAACTATTCTCCTGCTCAGATGAAATCTTGTAGTCGCAAGATCTATTTTATTTTATGACTTTTCTAAGCAACTAAATTTTTGAAAGATTATCACGAAGATATCTTACCATAGAGAAGTTAGCAATGTTTGGTAGCATATCTTCATTTAGTTTACGAGATGGTTATGCTTTATATACCGGTACCTTGTACCGTAAAATATGATTGTATCTGACCGATATTAGAATTTATGTTGCGTTTTGACGACTCTGTGAATTGGCATATTATAATCTAACTGTCTCATATTAGTCATCGAATATCGATATTCTTAATAAATATAGCCGTAGTAATTAAGCATTTAGATATAAATAGAATAGCTAATTACTTAACCGCTTTTGATATCATCTATAACTTCTATCTACTGTAAAGAGGTATTAGAGCCCTTCATTTTAGATAATAAAGATAGTCCTTGATTGTAGGACAGGATATGTCATGCCTACACCACCTAGATCATCTTGATGTTCCCTATTCCCGCAATCAATACATAGTCCGAAATCATAGGCTGCATTAAAAGCATAGCAGCCAGAGATTTGAATGCCACACGAAAAAGTGATCTTGGAAAGTAGAGATGCTCGATCATTTTTATTGCACATATGGTAACCTCTAGTGCATAATTTTGTATTACTAATATGTCCTCTCCAACCACCTAGGCAAGCGATGACTAATATCTCATAGACTTTAAGAGCAATCACGCTATTTCCACAGATTGGTGTTGTCCCTATTAAAAATTAATGACAAAAAAAGAGTACATTTTACTAGTACATTAGATTAATGATACGTTTGATAATTATTCTAGTAAATGAATTTAAAATAATGACTTCGTCTGGTATAGGCGCTTCGAGAGTTTGTATATCTATTCGTAAATTGGAGTGCAGGTACAATTTTTTATCATAAATCGGTCTTTGGATTTGAGGATATTTTACCATAGCAAACTGTGATAAAGTATGTTCTCAAAAATACAAAAGAACTACAGCTTCTTGTAAATTTCGCTTTACTACATAGGTTAGGCTCG